GGTGCAGTGGATGCACGGGTGAGCGCGCTGGGCGGAGGCCCGTGCCGGGGCGGGCCTGCCTCCCTCCCCGCCGCACACACTGCCACACTGCAGGGCGGGCCTCCCTCCCTCCCCGCCGCACACACTGCGGGGCAGGCCTCCCTCCCTCCCCACCGCACACACTGCTGTCTGCTGCAGGCGACCCGACGACTGGACTCTGTCAGCTGGCGGCAGTGGAACCATCTACGGGTGGGGACACAACCACAGGGGGCAACTCGGGGGCATCGAAGGTGCGAAAGTCAAAGTCCCCACTCCGTGTGAAGCCCTCGCCGCGCTCAGACCGGTGCAGCTGATTGGAGGAGAGCAGACCCTGTTTGCCGTGACGGCAGACGGCAAGGTGAGGCTGCGTGTTCCATGGCTCCTGTACGGCTGGCTGTGGTGTGGGTCTTCGTCCAGGGGTAGGTCCGCCGTGCTGCGCAACAGGCTGCTCGGGAGAAGCCCTGCCCCATGTGGTGACTGGTGTGAGTCCCTGGCTTGGGCAGCCTGGCACGCGGGCTGCACGTATGAGTCCCCAAGGCCCGGAGGCCGGGCACTGGGGGAAGGGGACCGTGGCCTGAGCAGACCGAGCAGGTGCTCCGCATGCACCCCATGGTAGACTACACAACACACTCCATCCTAAATAGAAGGGCAGGGTGGGCGGTGTTCATGGCATGTTGGAAACAGTCCCAGTTCTCAGATATTCCTGTATAATCTGCATTCTCCAGCTGTAGAGGATTCCGGATTACGTTGTAAATGGAAGTGCTAACGTTTTCTCCTGCGTGTCGCTCATTAAATGCAGTGCTCGTTTGCCCCTGTACATAGTTCCTCTTCAAGCGGAGCTGCTGCTGGCACAGAAGACTAGTGGCGTCAGAGGCCGGTCTTTCCTTGGCGTCTCTGGGCCCCTTGGTCTCCCATGCCCTATGTTGGGTGATCCCTGCAGGTCGAACTTCCAGTTCTCTGGTTTCTGCTCATCTGTGTTTAATTTGTTGTTTAATACAGCTGGGTTTTTTATTTTTTTTAAATTACTGGGTTTTTTTTTTTTTTTTTTTTGAGAGATTTTCACTGTAGGGCGCGTGCGCTCGCCAGACAGACAGAGAGAGACATGGAGACAGAAAGTGAGAAATCACCCCCCAGGTCACGCCACAATCCCTTCTCCTCCATTCTCCTCTCGGGATCTTGGGCACGCACGCACACGTGCCCGGTGTGAGTTTTAAGCCACCGGGTCCGGGACACGAACCGCGGTCGACTACGTGGGAGTCCAGCGACATAGCCATTACGCTAACTGCTGCTTCCCATTACTGGGTTATTTTTATTGGGGCATTATTTTATATCCTATTATTCCTTGGACCTACCTTCAAGTTTTTACTTCTTTAAACGTGAGGTTAGACTATTGTCTTCTGCTAACTATCACTCTT